TTCTAAGTTGTTTCACCTCAGTATGGTATCTAGTTACTATATTAGCTTAAGATAATATTGCCTGTGGCAAAAGTCTCAATCTTAGGGTCTATGATAAAAACAAGTGTGTTCCTTCATCTCCTAGGCTTCAAAACATGTACTGCCATGGTGATTTGTCATACTGATGACAAAAGTAGCTAAACACATGTCACCAAGTTGCCTGTGAAAAGTTAAGAGACAATTCCAGCCTTTTTCCATCCCTGACAGGTGCCAAAGGGGAAGGACAAAGTTGTGTAAGAATTTCTATTCAAGCCCCACTTGGTGGCACATGCTTGTAATCCTAGTACTTGGGAGGTAAACGCAGGAGGATCAGGAGTTCAAGTCTAGCCTTGGCTACATAGAAAGTGTGAAGCCCGCCTGGGCTGTGACAGACCCTGTTTCATAAGCCACACACATACACAACTGAGGATGCTACAAACCAGCAGGGCTTGGCTAGTAGTGACTAAATGTCACTAGGATGGTCCCATGAGGAACCCAGTCAGTTTCTCTTTTCTTTGTCTTTTTATTCTCTTACACAATGTATCCTGACTGAATTTTGTCTTCCCTCCTCACTCCTCCCAATAACCCCCCTCCCAGGTCCACCCCTCCCCCCTTTTCTCTTCAGAAAAGAGCAGGCCTCCCAGGGGTATCAACCAAAAACACAACAAGATAAAGTAAGAAAAGACCGCCCCCCCGTTTTTTTCTTTTTAGCACTGACTGTCCTGGAACTCACTCTGTAGACCATGCTGGCCTCAAAATCAGAGGCATCCATCTACCTCTGCCTCCAGAGTGCTGGGATTAAAGGTGTGTGCTGTCACTACTTGGCTTTAACCAATGATCTTAACCAAGATCATTCATAGAGATTCTCAAATCTGACATGTTTCCTAAGGAAATCCCCTTCTATTCCTTCCTGTTTTAAATTGTATGTATGTGTGCATGGCTGTATCTGAGGAAGCCAGAAGAGGGCACTGAATCCCCTCGAGCTGGGATTACGGGAGGTTGTAAACTGCCCAGCGTGGGTGCTGAGAACAGAATGAGGTCCTCTGCGAAGGCAGTGAGCACCTCTCCAGCCCTGTCCCTCGACTCTTCCTGTCAAGGTCTCCCCATGACAGACGAGTACTGAATTTTGTTGAGTTCTGTTTCATGGAGGTGACCCCAGAGTTTTCATACTATGTTAATGTAGTGGGTTATATTCATGGGTCTCGTGCGTTTAATCTACAGTTGAGTTACTGGGGTATACCCTTATTGGTCATGAAGTATGATCTTCTACGATATGCTTTGCTCCAATTTTATTTAGAATTTTCCTATTGTCCAGAAGTGAGATTGGCTCATAATTCTCTGGTCTTTTACCGTTCTCTGCTGGCATTTGCTTCGGAGGTTACTAGTGTCATAAAGTGAATTGAGCTCTCTTTCTTTCCTGTTTTCCCATACATTCCATGTACGATAGAATTTCCTCTTAAACTGCCTGGGCCTGTCCTCGTTTCTGTTTGTGGTGTAGATTAACTATTGATTTGCTTTCTCTTATAGGCTTATTTGGGTTTTCATTTTTAAAAAAAATTTTTTTAAGTTCATTTTGGCAAACCATTTTTTCCTCTGCTGGGAAACAGTTCATCTAATTTAAGTTTTTGTAGAAATTACTTCAATTTGTTCCATGAAGCAATCTGTTAGTTTTCTTTAAAAAAAATTGTTATCTCTGCGATAACGATGTCGCCTTTTCTGGCCCAGGGCTGCTTCTCTGCTTCCCCTCCTCTGTCTTGCTTTATATTTGCTGTTCTGTGTGCTTGCAAAGAATGAGCTCTTGTTTTGTTTTCTCAGTGTTTTAAAATATTTTTTTACATTTCAAGTATTCCTGGTTCTTCTAGGCTGTTTTTACTTTATCTTTTTGCCCTCTTTTTCCCCAGATTTCCTTTCTTGTTCTTTTTGAATTTCTTGCATTGAATGTGCAGGTTTCTGATAGACAGCTACTGATTTTTTTCTAATGTAGGAGTGCGCCTATGTCTTTGTCAGGGTCACATGTGTCCTAGGCTTCCACATAGCTGAGGCTGACCTTGAGTTTCCAGCTTCTACTCCCAGAAGCTGGGATTACAGGCATGTAGCACCATGCCTCAAAAAAAGGGGGGGGTTGGAAGCAAACCTTGGGCCTTGTGTACACTGGGTAAGTATTCTACCAACCAAGTCACAGCTCTAGCCCTAGACTTCCTTTTCTAATCACGTATTTCTCTTATGAGATATGCGTTATGAAGTTATTGTGTATATCTCTGTATTTAATTATGTTTTGTCTCTAAAATGAAAACTCTGGCAAAAATGTTGTCCTAGTTAGCTGCAACTGTCAGTTTGAGACAGCCTACAGTACCCTGGGAAAGGGAACATCTCAAATGAGGAATTGCTTATGTCATATTGGCCTGTGGGCATGTCTTTGAGAGATTGTCTGATTGACAATGTATGTGTTGTCACACACACACACACACCACACACACACATCACATCACACACACACACACACACCACACACACACATCACATCACACACATCACATCACACACATCACATCACACACACATCACACACACATCACACACACACACACACACACACACACACACACACACACACTATGAATGTGCTGCCAGCCAAGTGTAGCATCAGTGAGCACTGATCGAGAGCTGGACTTTCCTGGATGCCTGATCACTGTGCACCCAGGACTGAGGCTTCTTTCTGGCTAATCAGGGTCTCTATATGCTGCATTTTCTTATTTGTCCCCTAGAGATGCTGAGAGTGTTCCTGTTGTCTGTGTTGAAGAACATTCTGCCTAGTGCACACAGAGCAGGGGTCTTTGGCTCATCAGCTTTGCACTCCTGCTTTTGGACCACTCAAGACTGCCTGGTCTCATTGGTCACCACTGACCAACACTGGTACCTGGAATGTTTTTTAGTGGGAAGCGGCTGGAAGGGATGAACTCTGAATGCAATGAGGATGAGTAGCGGCTTTGGAGGAGTGGCAGGTAAGTGAACATCTTCTTCTCACACACATTTACACTGCAAGAAATACCCATCTGGACATGAAGGATCACTATTGCATCAAAAGGCTTCAGTCTAGCTTAGTTTTTAAAGACAGTCTCCTGGCTGGTCTGGAACTTACAATGTAAATTAGACCAGGCTGGCCTTGAACTCACAGAGGCTCACCAGGCTCTGCCTCTAACCTCAGAGTGCTGGGGTTAATCGTGAATCCCAGGTTAGCCATGGTTACATGTTGAGACTCTGTCTCCAAACAAACAAACAAACAGAAAAAGAAAACAAAACAACCCCTCTCTCCTCCACAAAACAACAAAAAACAAAACAAAACAAACAACAACAACAAAACCCTGGCTTCCTGACCTTTTGCAGTTTGGGAAACTTGGGACTCAGCCCTGTGTTAGCCTCTTCAGCTTCTCTGGAGCCTGAGCACTCCTCAGTTCCCTCTGTCCTATAGAGGCATGGGATATCCTCAAGACCTTTCCCCTCACCTGGGGTTGCTTATAGTAGTCCTCTCCACCCACATCCTGACTCTAAAGCCCTGATAAACCTCTTCACTGGTGTTGAAGGTCCTAGGCCTCTGTGCTCGCTCATGACAGGCTTGTAGCCTCTGCCTACATGTCCTGGGAATGCTCCCCAGGAGAGTTTCCCCTGAACAGAATAACTTCAGGTAGTTGACGAAGCAGCTAGACATCTGGGGGATGGGTGCAGGTCAGGAGACACAGGCACACTCTTGGAAGTGACTCCCTTTCCTTCCTTTCAATCCGGACACCTGTACCACCTGGCAGGGAAGATGCTCCAACTACAGAGCCAGAGGCTGACCACTAATTTTTTGTAACAATATGGTACTCTACCCCACAGCTCTTCTAAGCTCTGTCTTTACTGTGTGCAGAGATCTTATATAGCCATCAAGTCTATAGGCCAACATTCTGGCTCTTCTCTCATGCAAACCCACTGCTTTTGCCTCTTTTATTGGTAGGCAAGTTGTGACCCACACTGTTCTTCAATTAGACATATTCATTTAGCTTCAGATCATCTCATCCAAAAATTATTCCCAAGTGAGCATTCCTGTTGATAAGCATGGGTTCTTCTTGGGTCTCATATCTTTAGGTTCTGGGCTCTGTGCAGACTAAGCCTGGATAGAGATGTGTTTTGGAAAACTATGGCTGAACAGAGAGTAAATGTGATTGCAAAAGTGTTTTGGCAATGGGAGGAACCAAACTGAGGGATCAGCCCTCCTCTTGAGCAGACGATCTGAGGGAGCACATGGAGCTCAAACACTTTTTGTCTGAGTGGCCTCCTTGGCTCAGTCAGGATGGAGATTTGGGATGTCAGGTGAGACACAACTGCCCGTCCCATTACAGGTGGCAGGTCTTGGAGTGAACTGTACCCATGTGGTGATGGGCACAGGCTTGGGTGGAGCCTAGGGCAGGGAGCAGTGGGAAGTTGGTCTCTGTGTTCAGCTTCTTATCACGTGATTTCATTTGGCTCAGGCTCAGTGCTCACCACACAGGAGACTGCTGGACCTCTCCTCCCCAATGTTAATGAGGCAGGTCTAGAAAGCAGAGGCCAGGGGAGCTAAGGCTCGGGCTTTGTATGGGGGCAGGTAGATCACAGGGACCAGCATCCATTGGCTAGAGACTTGAATTGGAGCCAGCTCTGTTGTTCTGAGTCTTTGTTTACATTGAAATGGAGTGGTGGTGGTGCACACCTTTAGTCCCAGAGGCAGGAGGATTTATGAGTTTGAGGCCATTCTGGTCTACATAATGAGTTCAGGACAGCCAGGGCTACACAGAAAAAACTGTGGCTGGAAAAAAACCAAAACCAAACCAAAACAAACCAAACAAAATCTTGGGTCTTGCATCTGTCAATTCTCTTTCACAGTTGCTGACAGACTATCGCCAAAAAGGAAATTCCTTTTCAAGTTTTATTGTAAAATCCTCAGAAAAAAAGAGCACTGACAATGACCATACTTTATGATAATCTGTCTTTTTTTGTTTTTTTTTTGTCAAGTGGTACAGTAAATACATCATGTGTTCAATACTGTGTCATACATCAAAATAAACACAAACTTATTTCAAATGCCACATACTGTTACTGTGTTGGTACAAATTTCTACTAAAGTTGATGTATTAAAAATAATTTTTATATATCTTATAAATAAGGAAAAAATTCACATGTGTATAATAATTACAGGCGGCCTTCTGAGAAATACTGATTACAGAAAATATATTTTGGAGTCTACACAACTGCTCAAAAGAATGTAGCCTGCCTCAATGTAAGAGATCCAAGGGTTTTTCTGAGGTGGGGAAAGGACGACTCTCTTGATGGTGTGCATGGGGTTCCACAACTTGAAGGTCATTCAGCGACACAATAGCGTGAAACGGTGTGCGACCACTCCAGCAAAACTTCATGCCCAGTTTCACTTTGGGTCATTTTACACAGCCTTCAGGAAGCAGGGCAGCAGCACTGGGGAAGGTGAAGAGCCCTTGGAGCCAGGGCAGGGAGAGAGGGTGGAGGAGGCAGGCAGGAGGGTATGAATGTGGGGAGTTACCACCAGGGGCACAGTGGGTTTGGATCTGGTCGCCTGCAGGCTTGTTTCTCTCCCATCTCTGGAGATAGCATTCTAGACAGTGGGTTTAGGGTTTAAGAGCCCCCCCGCCCCCGAACCTCGAAGCCACTGCCAGTTTCCCTTTTTCCAGAAGGTGAGCTGTGGAGAGCAACATGTCACCAAGGCTTGGTGTGGGGGGCCAGTCCATATACAAGGTTTTGTGGGCTGTAGGCAGGGTTCTCAAGAGTTGTCATGCTTTCTAGGGCCATGCTTTCTAGGCCACGAGTGACTTTTCATTGGAACGCTAAAGCAGTGAGGCATCATGGGTAGAGGCCATGTGATACCTGTATGGTTGATGGGAAGCTGGTACTCCATGAATGGTAAGAACTAACGAGGGAGTGAGCCGTGGGAAATGGACTGTAACATAATCATTAAGTTGAGCTTGGAAAGAAGGGTACATAAGCTGTGACTTTGTGTAGAAAGAAAAAACCATCCTAAATGTACTGGCGCCAGCTGAAGAAGCCTCACTGTGAATTCTGGAAGTCCATTTCTTCTCTCCTTACATATCCCATAATTTCACCCATTGTGTGTGGTTAAATTACACTTCCCAGCTAGATGCCCAAAGAGCCAGAGGAGAATGTGGATGCTTGCTTATTATCTCGAGGTATCTGCTGGGAAGCTGATGCCCAAGCCCATGGGCCCAGCCAAGACACCCAGATCCTCAAGCCAGTGTGACAACCAAGACAGTGGCTTGCTTTCCACCAGCTGTTTGGCATCTTGTGGTGTCCTGCTCCTGTTGGATCTTTTAAGTATCCCACTTACCATCTCTGGTTGTGGAGAGAAACCAAACCTAGGCAGTCGGTTATGTTCTTGAGCAAAACCATGTTGCCTCTGTGGTGGCTTGAGAGCAAATGGCAGCATCTGGTCTGTGAGTGACTTCTCATTTGAACCCTCAAAGCAAGGGGCATGTGGGCAAAGGACACGTGAAGCTGGTGTGATAGCGCTGTTGCTCCTTGAAGGATGAGGGCCATCACAGGGGAACTCTGGAGCAGGGGGCCTGGGACACAGGGAGGGAACCAGGAAGAAAGTGAATGATAATGGAGAAGGTGAGAGGGCAGACTGCCTAGTGTGAGACTGGGCTGAAATGAAATGTCACCAGCTCTCTCTCTGATTTTCAGCTTCTCACTCTGTCGGACTAGGAACTAGGGTTTGGGCTGTGATTCTCAACAGCAAGGTGCTGTCCCAGGGTTCTGATCACACATGGAGTGGGACTGGGGCGGGGCTGATGGAGGACTTCCGAGTTAGTACTATAGTAGTCTTCCATCATCTCTGGCCTCCTGGGGTGGCGTTCTGGGGGTGCTGGGTGCCCGGAAGGAAGATGTGAGGTAGATTGGTGTGCAGGTGGGAGGGGAGTGGCAGCAGTCCCCCAGGAGGCTTGCTTCTGGAGGGGGGGGGAGGGTTCGAGAAAGTTGTGGTGCTTGTTAGGGAAGATGGTTCAGCATTAGTGGTATTTGAATGAAGCACATGATAAAATGAAGCAACTACACTTTAGCCCGTGGTACAAAAATATATCCAGAGCGAATCTGTTTCACATCTCAGTTCTGAGATCTCCCTTAGTTCACAGGTTATTGGTCATCAGACGAACAAGAAGATACAGCTGTACAAAACCAACTCCTGCATTGTTCCCATGCACTGTGGCAGCAAGCTGCTGCTCTTGGCTTTGTTTGGGGTAGCAAGCAGCCTCCTTGGGGTGTTTCCCTTCTGTTGGGAATCCTTTTCTGAACAGAGAGCAGGTTGAGGGGAAGCTAGTTCACTTGGGGGTTACAGAGCAGAGGGACTGGACCACCTTCCTTGGTGGATGCTCACTCTCTACATCAGAGTATCTAGTTTGGCATTAGCATTTGATCCTAGCCATGACTTCAGGCCTCTTCCAACCTCCTCCTGCAATTCAGGAAGGCAGTAGGATAATTGTGTGGCTTGGGAACTGAAGAGATCCTTTACCATATTGGGAGTGGCCCACCCTCAGGCCTGTTTGGACATGAGGGTCACACACTCAGTCAGAAGCAGGAAAGCTCTCTTTTATGCATTCTGGGATGGCTGGGTAGGATGTTAAGAGCGAGGACTTTGGGGCAGAAGGAGAACCAGTAGCTATGCGTGCATAGAATTTGTTTTCTGGAAGGAAAAGAACAGTTGAATGTTAAGAACTATGGATGGGGTTTATGTAAACAGCTTTCCTGGTGATTTTCTTGGTTAAACCAATCCTTTCTGGGTAAATGATTGGCTGTTAATCTTTGTGTTCTTCAGAACAACCCCCACAGGCTGGGCTTGTTGCAGGAGACTCGCTCACTGTGTGGCTGCCATCTTCTGCCAGAGGGTTTAAACTTGACTCATGAGTCTCTTCTGGCCCCAAAGTGAAGGAGGGGGAAGCCAGGCAAAAGATTTCCCTGTGGTCTTCTGCCTTCACTGTGCTGTCACTGCCAGTAAACCATTCTGCTTTTGTGACTACTGAAATCTGGACGAGGCTTCAGGTTTCTGAGTTTTTGCTTTAATGAGGATTTGCATGCAGGTCCCTGGACATATGCTGGTTGTCTCCAGTAACTTGACCAGAACAAAAAGAAATCTGGGGGTGCCTTCCAGGAATGTGCAGAGATGGGGGACAGTGGCCAAATGGCACTCCTGCTTTCTTCCAGTTTGGGGACTGGACTGGCCTTTTGACTTCAGAATACTTCATCCAAAGAGGGTGGGTACCCTGGCCTCAGTGGGCTTTGGGGAGACGATACTCTGCCTCTTTGAGGCTCAGGGAGTCTTCTGCCTGAGGCAGACACTATTGTTCCAAAAGGAGAAATGTGTGAAAATTGGAAGAGATGAGTGAATACATATGGGACTCCAGAATCACATCAATATACCGAGGCAGATAAAAAGGGGTAAGAAGTATCACCATCTAACCCAGCTATTAGGCCTCTAAGGTCAGCATCTTCAACCTCTGTGTCTTGCTATTACCCAAATCTGAAACATGGTAGCACATGTAGAGGTAACTGCCGTGGACTGTACAGGACAGTTTAGTGGACCAAGAGAGAGGAAATATGGGAGAGGCCAGACTAGCGGCAGGAAACTGGAGTGAGCAATGGGGGTTAAGCACTCATGCAGGAAGCGGGAGTGAGGTTCAGTCTGTGTTTTCAAAGTCATGGCCACTGTTGGTAGGTAAAAGTGACTAAGTTAGCTGAAATGTCTGGGGTAGACCCACTGTCTTAATGCTGTAGGACTTGCAGAATAATCATTTGAACTAGAAAGCCAATAAGTTTTGATCACAGACATGGGAGAGGACAGGAGCGTTCTGGGAAACCTGGGTGGGGGTTTCTTTTTTGTTGAGAGTCTCTGACACGGGCTGGCTGGGTTGTGCCTCTTCTTGATGGCCTGAGAGCCTACTGCAGGGGACCACAGGCAGACAGGAGGGACTGACACAGCTCTTTGTGGCTCTGCACTTTGGAAAGTGTAGATTAGAGTGTGGGAATGAAAACACTTAGGGAAAAGGGCTCTCTTGCCGTGTGGTGACAAGGGCTGAGGAATCAGTGTGGACCACTCCTGCAGAAATACAGCCTTAGGACTCTAGATGGATGGCACTCATGGCTTCTGGATTTTGGCATTGAGCCCAGAGGCTGCCTACACCTTCCCAGGAAAGCCTGGTCTGCCCTGGGTCTGCGGTTCTGCTGGTGAACTAGGCTTCCCTAATAACGTGTTGCCTTTCTATAGTGAAAAGCAGGCACATGGGGCTCAGCTTGGTCTCTTGAGGTCCCAGCATGGATTTTAACACAGCAGTTATGGACTGCACTTGGGCCAACACAATGGTGTGGAGGGCCGCTATTTCTTGGATGTCTATTTTTTTCTGTACATGGGATGTACGGCTGGGACCCTCTTCCCTCAGAGACTTGGCCTAAGGCAGGGAAGAATATAACCGGACCTTGGAGAGCATCTTTCTGTGTCCTCAAATTTGAGATTATAAAAAAATTAGTTTTAATCAAAAATTCCAAAATAAAGCAAGTGATTTCCCCATCCCCCAAGGTGTAGTAAGTTTCAGAGGCTCTCCCTCAGGGGTGCAGCACTCAGCTGGGAAAGTAAGCAAGCAGCGTCCAGGAAGGAGCAAGTGAGATCCCCAGCAGGGTAGAAGGCTAGCCCACCAAGAGGGGCTGCCCCGGGCCACTCCCTCAGGACACTGGCTGGGGCTGGCGGGTTAGGATAATGACCATGTGAAGGCAATCGACGGAAGTGTCAGCCTGGGCAGCAGGATCCCTCAGTTCTGTGGTGTCCCCAGGCGACGTGGTGTGCAGCCAGGAACAGAGATGATTTCCTTGCACACAGCAGCATGTGTTCTCGTCACAACTCAAGGCATTAAGTCATACATCTGACTGGAACCCCCCAATCTTGGTTGCAGCGTGTACCTTATACTAGGGAACTTGCAAGGAGATCAGTGTTGAACCACAAAGCGAAGTACAGGGTTTGGCTTTTTTTGTCTGTGAAATGTACAGTGCGCCTGGTTTGGGGTTGTGGTGTCAGGACTGAGGTGGTACTCCTGGACCCAAGGTTCCTTACAGGGCCCTTTCATACCTCCCCGACCCACACCACCGTGGCCACACCCTTTGTGCCCGACACCTCGCATCTCAGGGCGTTTTGTCTCCCGTTGATTAGGAACAGCGACTCTTGAGCTGGCGTGAGGAGGTACTGTCCAAAGAGCCCGCTGTCCCTCAGGATTCTGCGTGGTCCACCCCAGGGTGAGGCTGGCCCAGTGGGTGGCTCCTTTAAGTTCAGCCTGCCCATTTTCCCAGTAGACAGCTCAAGGAACAGCAGGTCTGGCTCCTTGTCGAGAGTGGCAAAGGCGTTGTACTGATTGCCTTCAGTGAAGGAATGCTGAAATGCCAAGTCTGAGATGCCCGGGTTTATTTTTAGGTCATATAGGGTCTGGATTTCCCCCCGCACTGTGACCTCCTGCACGTGTAGCCAGGGGCCCTTGTTGGAGACACTGACGATGAAGCGTCCATCAGGGGACATGTGGGGGGTGCCTGTGATGTCAGTGTTAGGGCCCAGCACCGAGTCTGTGACACTGTCGATGAGCAACTGTGGGCCTGTAGAGGTAGGGGTGTCCTGTTGGCATTGCACAAAGAAGTAGCCACCCAGGTGGGTGTGGGCCATGGCTTGAGGCATGCAGCCATGGTGCTTCAGGCTAATAGTCTTGAGGGGCAGCAGAGTCTCCAGGTCAACTTTGTGGACAGCAGAGTCAGACTTGTTGAAGATGAAGCCAAACCTGGGAGGAGAGTAATAGAGGTCAGAGAGCAGGAGGGCTCTGTCATTTGTTTTAAACGATGGCATTCTAACCCTCCAGTCATCTAATGGTCTATTAATAAGATCTATCATTCTGCAGGGGACACCTCCTGTGTCAGTTATCTGTACTCTTCAGTCACGTACAGTTGAGTACAAATATCCGTGGATTTGCGTGTTTACAAAATCACTCATCTTTTTGAAGGCAGAGCGAAGGCCCTCGATAGCTTCTCTTTGGAGGTGCCTTTGGACCACTCCCTAGTGTTAACTGGGGTGGGGATCTGGGCTTGTAGGACTTGGAGAAAAAGACCAACTCTTGCCCAACTGTCACAAGGACACCTGTCAATCAGCTCTGCTTGTGAGCTGTCTGGTAAGTCAGACTTTGAAGACACAGGACAGAGTTGTCCTGATGCTGGAGGAGGAGTGCACAGCGTGGTCTCCCCTCTGGCATCCATGTTGTGGGCAAGAAGAACCTTGGGCAACTTTCGCCCCACACACCACGTGGCCTGGTGCTGCTGTGATGACCTTTCGCTACAGAGTCTAGGACCTGCCTCTGTGAGCCGCAGGGACTTAAAGAGTTCTGTCTCTTCCCAGGGCAGTTGGGAAGATCGGATCCCAGAGGGAGCTCAAGCAGATGAGACTTGCTCTCGTCTGACTTGCTGAAATTCTGTTGGAGACTGACTGCAAGTACGGAAGGTCTGACTCCAGGTGGGACTTCCCCAGAGATCTGCTTCTGAGTGTCTTTCTCACAAAGGCCTTTGGGGCTGAATGCACGCACCTAAAGGAACAGGAGAAATCTGTTCCTGTAATTTCCTTTTGGAAGAAAAGGCATCTCCAGAGTGGGCAAAATGTCCCAGATGCTGACTTTAAAGCATCCTTAAAGAAGTAGAGGGGGAAAACAATGCTTTTAAGATGAACTTGAACTTAAAAGCCATTCAGGAGCATCTGTGCCTGCACCACTCCTGGCTGGATTCAGCAGCCTGGTGGAGGGAGGGGGCGGGCAGTCTCATGCGTGCATTCGAGCTCTGAGGCTCTGCAGGGAAGGGGTTCTTAGAGAGGCTACTGTCCTCTTTAGGTTCCCAGCATCAGTGTGCAAAAATGAATAATTTCTTCCTGAAGATAGTGTCTGATGTCAGTTCACAAAGGCATATATAGTGAGGCCTTTGGGGTCTTGATGACAGAGCATGTGGGTGCCCTACAAATGAGGAAGGAAGGGGAGTGGCTCTGGAAAGTGTGGACTCTCTTTAATTAGAATGTGTGCTAGCAGGGCAACCAGGCTCTGGGTGTGCTGTGTGTGTGTGTGTGTGCCCTTCTCTATCCAAAGGCAGATCAGAAAGTACTGGGAGGGCAAGAGGGGAGCATGGCTGTCCAGGCAGATGAGGGGGTGTTGAGCACAGTCTGTAGGGGCATGGCGGACCAGTCCTACCTGATGTGATTAATGATGAGGTTTGTTGGGGGTATAAAGAAGTCATCCACTCCTGCAAATGGTGTTCGGATGAGGTGTTGGCCCTGGCCAGCGCTGGCTTCGGTGATCACCTGTAACAGAGAGAGGTTCTCATGTGGGCCCATTCAGGAGGGGGCTGGAGATCTGGGCATGTGCATGTTCGGCTGTAGACCCACAGATGGTGAGATAGATGGTAGGTAAGCCCTAGTCTCTGGGAAGGGACAGGAGTCAAGGGGGAGCTGTTTGGGAACGTGAGGATCAGGCACCTGTCCTTCCTGGAGGAGGAAGTGAACACCCAGACTGGCCACCCCTCCTTGGTCTGACCTGGCAGTCTGCTTCTTGTCAACCTGCAGGAGGATGGGATGAGGACCTAGCGAGTGGTGCTGGGGTTTCCAAGGAAGATTTCTCCCTCATAAGGTAACATGCGCAGAGACAGCTCCTTCCCTACCAGGGACTTCTATACATGGTCATTGTTCTGTAGGTTCTAGGCCACTGCCTAGAAAGAGGCACATCTACATTACACCACAGTGTGGGCTTGGGCAGCTCACAGGCAATTTTAGTTCAAGGGCACTAGGGATAGGAAGCTGACCCTCAACTCTCAACCAGGAGAGGAAACATCCCACCGCCTGTTCCTAATCATATTGTGGCCATGGCAGTAGCAGAAAGGACCTAGGATTTTTGCAGCCCAACACCAGCCTACAGGACGAGGGCAGCCTCTGGTGGGGCCTGCTGAACACACAGCTTGAAGCCCTGAGCACTTTTGCCTTTTAGGAAAGGGCCTGCCTTCTGGCTTTCACTTTCATGACAAAACAAACAGCGGCTGGCTTGTCTGTTCAGGCAGGCTTGAGGCTGGAGTCTTTGTGTACCTCCATGCTAGCCTTGCGGGTGGGGGACATCAGCAGGCCAGATGCTGGAGCAGAGGGCTGCATGCTGTGATTTCTAGTCTCCGAGCGGTTTTCAAGTTGCGCGGAGCGTATTTTCTTGTGATTTTTCTATTTAACAAATGGCAGGATGGTGCTTTCTTGACAAGTTCATGGGAGAAAAGCTCATAGAACTGGGCATTAAGAAAACACAAGATTAGACACTGAATCTAAGTGAATCTCTGGGAAACATGGCCAAGAATTCCAAGGCAGCATGCAATCGCTGCTTGATACCAGGCCTGTCATTTCAGCCTATAATAGAGATGGAAAATTACAGGCTGTCATCGGTCAGTGCCACTCACGCTTCACCACCCTGACACCCTATATTCAGAGGTGGCTTCATCAAACACAGTATCATGGACCATTGAGCCGACGAAGTATGTCAACCTTATTTTTCTGAGCCCCGAGGTTCCTCTTGCCCTGATCTTGGGTTCTAGCACATAGCTGAGCCCAGAGATGCCACAAAGATAATGCTGAAGACCCCTGGTTCTGTGGGCTCAGCTCAGGAGAAATACACAGATGGCATGGTAGCATAGGGGTTACCTGGATAGAAGGGAGGTGACAAAAAGGCTGAGTATCTCTCTTAAATGAGTGGACAATGTCAGCTGAGAAGTAACATCTAGAGGTCACTAAAATCTGGGCCTGGGCTAAGAACTGTGTAGAGTTGGTGATGATGCTTCCTGGTCAAAACTGGTTGCTGAGGAGAGAGTGGGAATGAGCATCGTGCATGGACCCACTTGCACGGATCCAGGGCAGACTTTAACAAATCCCTGAATAATGACTACCTAGAACAAATGGTTGAATGCTTCTAATGCTTTACAAGTATTAACATCACAATCTTTCCCACGCCTGTAGCCTTTTTCATTGTATGCGTTTGGATTTGGAGTACAGGGGTCTTGTTATATAGTCCAGGCTGGCCTTGAACTTCCAGTCTTTCTGTCTCAGCATCCAGAGTTTTGGGGTCATAGGTGTGCATGGCCATGTATAGCTTTTCATCTGTATCTAGGAACATTTTCTTTTGGGTTAGGGAGAGAGAGAGAGAGAGAGAGAGAGAGAGAGAGAGAGAGAGAGAGAGAGAGAGAGAGAGAGAGAGAGAGAGAGAGAGTGTGTGTGTGTACAGAAGGTAGAAAAGGGCATCAGATCTCTTGGAGCTCAAATTGTAGGTGGTTGTGGCCTCCTGGTGTGTGGACACTGGGAACCAAACTCCATCTTCTGCAATAGTGGCAAGAACTCATTTTACAAAACCTTTGACATTTTCCTTGGAGGAATGAACATGTGAAAGAATTCTTCTAGATGCAATGTTTCCTATATATTGAACTCAGCTCCTTGTCTGTGTTGAAGGGTTTTCTCATGCGCTATTTCCTCTGCTTGGTATGTACAATTTAGGCGCATCTTTGATCAAGCTGCATTATATTTAATCCTTGCTTGATGCACTGAGTTACATTGTCGGGCACGTAGCTATTCATCATCATGAAAGTCTCTCCTGCTGTCCGCAGCTTTTAAATTCGACGCCACCTCACCCGGTACTAGCATTCCCTCTCATGAGCATCCCTTTGATCAACTGTTACCACGGTTTCAAGTCTCGAGGCTTCTCCTTTTATTACTTCTACCGTGTTTCTTTCATGCCCCCCCACGCTGGTAATTGGGACTAAACCTAGGACCTTGCATGTGGTCGGATAGCATTCTAGCACGAAGCTGCACTCTGGTCCCTTTAACTCGGAACTGTCCGCACGCACGCACACGTGCAGGTCAGAGGCCAGCTTGGGTGGTGTTGCACCTTCCTTTTAAAAGTTAAAACACATTTCAGATATCTAATTTTGAGCATGGCTGTTTTGCCTGCTCATATGGATGTATACCATATGCATGCCTGGTGCCTGCAGAGGTCAAAAGAGTGTGTCAGATCCCCGGAACAGGAGTTATGGATAGTCATGTGCTGCCCTGTTGCTGGGTACCAGATCTGGGTCTTCTGCTAGAGCAGCAAGTGCTCTAACCACTGAGCAACCACTATAGCTCTATACTTCCTTTATCTATTTCTGAGACGGTTTCTTGAATTGACTTGGAATTTGTTATATAGACTGGGTTGGCTGGCTTTGTGTATGACTACAGGGATGAATGTGGAGGTCAGAGGACAACTTTTGGGGGCCAGCTTCTCTCCTTCCACTGTGAGTTCTAGGGATGGAATTGGTGGCTGGGGCTTGTGCACCAAGTGTCTTTTCTCACTTAGCCATCTTGCTGGCATCACATTAATTTCCCTTCCTGTGGGTTTGGGGGTCAGGTCCCCATGTTTGTAACACAAGCACCTTACAGACTGAGCCATTGCTCTGCTCCACTTTTTTCTTTTTTGAGGCAAGGACTAAGTTGCCCAGGCTGGCTTTGAACTCACTTTACTGTCCAGGCAGACCTCGAACTTATGACCCTCTCCTTTATCTCCTGGGTAGCTGTGATTATAGGCCAATGTCACTAGGCTTGACTTCATATTTCTTAAAAACAAATTATTTCTAATGTTTTTCCTTTTAAAGCCCAATCAAATCATTTTATTTATTTATGAATGACAGGATCTCTCTCTCAAGTAGCCCAGGCTAGCCTCAAATTCACTGTGGAGTGGAGGCTGACCTTGGGCTTCTGATCTTCTGCCTCTACTTTCCAAGTTTTAGATTGCATACATGCATATACCACTATGCATGGAAGATGGCACTACAGTTTTCTTTGGTGCTGGGGATTGAAACTGGGGCTTTATGTATGTCAGGTTAAGCACACTACTTATAGTCACATTCCCATTACATCTTTGCCTTAAAAAAATTAAGCAGGCTAGAGGGATGACTCCAGGGTTAAGATCACTGGCTGCTCTTCCAGAGGATCTGGGTTAAATTCCCAGCACCACACGATAGCTCACAGATATCTATGATTCCAGTTCTGACATCTTCAAACATTTGCATATATATATATGCAAAACAACAATGCACATTAAAAAAGAATTCTAGTCAGGCGGTGGTGGCACACACCTTTAATCCCAGCACTCGGGAGGCAGAGGGCAGGTGGATCTCTGTGAGTTCGAGGCCAGTCTGATCTATAGAGTGAGTTCCAAGACAGCTAGGACTGTTGCACAGAGAAACCTTGTCTCCAAAACCCAGACCAAACCAAAACTAAGAGATACTTGGAAAAATGGAATATTCATGCTCCAACATTCTCTCCACCCTTCTTATCCCAAGAAAGTGAGACTTGCATTTTTATTCTGCCCCGCCTCTACCCACTCTTGATTGCAATAACTTACTCTATTTTTACTTTTCTCTCAGTTCTGAGTCTCCAGCTTTTCCAGATGTGCACACATTTCCAGGCGTGTTCTGCCGCAGCCCTCTCTTAAACCTTCTCTTGTCTGTCCCCCAGTGGGGTGCCGCTTTTCTTTCTACACTGTGCTAAGGTCTCTCTGGTCCGGCTCACCCGATGCCCTCAGGCTTCGTCAGTGCTGAGACTCTGGGTGCTCACACTCTCTTGTCTTCCTTGGTGTCTTTGCTGGGACAGGACTATGGAAGTTCAATTCTTTGCTCTTCCAGTCACATAGATGTCACTTGTGGTCTTCAGCTACTGCTACAGGTGACAAGTCTAATGTCAACTTGATTGTCTTTTATGGGTGATTTGTTATTTTTCAGCTCCACAGGGCCTCCCTTATCAGAGTTTCCTTTCTTGGAGTTTGGGAATTTTTACTAAAAAGTTCATCACTTTGGACTGGACTTTGTAGTCTCTCTCCAGTCTCTCTCTTTGAGAAGGAGCGTGTGTGCACACATGTGTACACCATGTGTGGGGGCAGAGGACAATTGTGTTCTCTCTACAATTTACACTGCTTCTGGAGATTTAAACCCAGTATTGTAGGCTTGTGTGGCCACTCCACTTTACTCTCTTAGCCCTCTCTCCAGCCCTAGATTGTAGTGAATCCACACGATTACAGCTCTTTTTTTGAGACAGGGTTTTTCCTGTGTAGACCAGGTTGTCCTCCACCTCAGAGATCCAGGGTGCACTACCACTGTCCAGCGTGATTACAGTCCTTTAACTAAGCAATATGTTCCAAATTTGTTTGATTTCTTTTTAGAGAGTCTTACCCTGGTTTTCTTGGAACTTGTAGGCATCCTTCTGCCTCTGCTTCCCAAATTCTGGGATTATAGGTGAGCAGTACCATGCCTAACACATTTAATGCTTGATTCTCTTCCAACTGTGACTCTCTCTCTCTCTGAATATTAAGGGATCCTGTTCACATCTCCAAATCTTCAAAGGCTTTCCATTCAGGAAGATTTTCTTTTTCTTTCTAAATCACTGCAGTTTTGAACTGGGAAGCTGGATCCATTCATTTTTAGTTGAAGTAAGACCAATTTTCTGGTAGTCCCTCCTTGGATTTCATTCTTAGCATTCTCAGGAGCTTTGTCCCTGTTGTGGTTTGGTTGTGCGATGTACCCTCCACGCTTAGGGGTTGAACACTTGGTCTCTGTCTGGAGATGCTGTGTTGGGAGGTGATGCATCCCTGGAGACAGTGGGCAGCTGGAGGAAGGGCCTTGACAAGTACAGCCTGACTTTGTTTACTGTACCCAGTCTGCATCCTGTCCCCTGAGATGTGAGCAGGCAGCTGTCCCTTCCCAGTGCCACACCTGGGAGGTGTTCCTGCTGCTGTGCCTTCCCTGCTGTGGTGGATTGTGTCCTCAAGTGATTCAGAGGGCATTTGGTTACAGAGGAAAATGAGTACTACAGTTCCCCACAGCTCATTTTTGGCTCTCGGGACCTTTGGCAAGCTTTTTTTTTTTTTTTTTTTGAGGTGGTTAGATTCACTGGACCTGGGCTCAGTATCTTTCTAGCAAGGGCCGAGAGGAGAAAAAGACAGACTTGTCGCCATTTACTTCTGTGGGTTCTAAAGATATTCAACCCTAGCGGCTCAAATCATTCATTTGCATTTAATGAGTTAACTCCTCCCTGTATGCAAATAGTTCTGTGCACTGTTTTTAGGAGAACAGTAGACCATCAAGTAACTTTTTCATAGGATTTGTGGATCCCTGTGGAGAGAGGCAGGGCCAGGCACATTTCACACCAGGTATTGTTAAGCTTCCCAATCTGGTGTGGGGAGGATTCCAACAGAGCATCAGGGCCCAGCCTCTTCTCAGGGGGCAGGAGGCACAGTATAGGGGCTTTAGAGCCATGTTGAGTGGACCAGGACCATGGGGGAAATCACTTAACTATCTGTGGCCCAGCACTTTATGAGCGCAGAGTCTGTGGATTTAATAAGCACGTGGGCTGCAGCTCCTGTTGATTGGTTAAAATTATAGTTTCAAGGAGTGTGTTTCCACCAAACTCATGTTGGGGTGTGACCTCCAGTGCTGTGGTGTTGAGAGGTGGCAGGAACTTCTCGGGCTCTCAGTTCATGAATCTCTTTTCCTGAAGGGATTAATGCAGTCCTTCTAGGATGGGTGAGCTCTGACAAGAGTGGGAGCATTGTGCCTCCCTCTTCACCCACTGGCACATGTACCCATTCCATATACATCTGCTTCCCGTGCTCACCACGAAGACAGCCAGCACTGCTGCCTGTGACCTCTTGTCAGAAGCTGACCACATAGAGCTTCTTGGTCTTAGATGAAACCATGAGAGAAAAGAAACCTTTTCTTTTATACATCACCCAGAGTCAGGCAATTTGTTATAACAACAAAGTGGAAAGAGCCCACATTTGTGACTTGATTAACACTCTTCTCTAGATGGTCTGTTCATTCAAAGAAGAAGAAAGTCTTGTCTTCTTTTTCACTCTCTGGACTCCAGAGGCTTGTTCTATTTGACCCTAAGAGTTACTGACTCAGAAGAAGTAGGTATGGGGTGGTGTGCTGGGTAAGAGCTGGGCTGTCATGAAATTAGAATGTGACCATTTTACATTGTTTTCAGTAGTAATCCTGGTTGAAGATACCCTGTGTATTGCCTAATGGGAGCATTCCTCAGAGACTGTTTCTAATTTCCTTCTGTTGGTATAATAAAATGTAGGGACTTAACGCAATTAAGGGAGGAAAGGATTTATTTGGCTAACACTTCATAGTCTCAGTTCATCTTTGAGGGAAGTCAAGGCTAGAAGTCAAGCAGGAGCCTGGGGAGAACTGCTTGCTGGCTTGGGTTCAGGCTCATACTTGGCTAGCCTTCTTACACAGCTTAGAACCACCTGTATGGGACATGGTGCCTCCTACAGCGGGCTGGATCCTCCTACTTGAATTAACAATCAAGACCATTCACCCATGGACATACTTACAGGCCACTCTACTCTAGACAGTTTCTTCTCAGATGGACAGGTAAAGCTTACTAATACTGTTTTTTGCTTTCTTCTTGAGTCTTTGTGGAGATAGTTTGGATAGTTGGCCACCCAGGGAAGGATGAAACAGTTGTTTTAATTGAAGCAGCATCCTGCTATAGGCTGAGCATCAGCTCCAACATGCTCTACATACCTGCAGGCTTGGTTGGGATTTGTGCATGTCCCCCCAGCTCAGGACCCACACTTGGTCATGTGACTTGTCATAGGACAGCTTAGCTGGCAGAGGGTCCACACCTATGGACTTGAAAAGAAATAGTGACAAGTTGGTCATTGCTGAGATTGTCCTGATGCTCATTCTGGACATTTGTGCATGTGGTTATCTCACTAGGGGAGTTGGGAAGCTGGCCTCGGAACACTAGCCAATAATCCAGAGTAGAAGCCTTCCCATTGGCTTTCTTCCCATTGGCTTTGTCCTCAAAGGACGAGGAACTCAATGAGTTGTCTCTTTGAAGAATTTAGTTTCTTGTTCATGTCTCACATAAAGTATCCTAGGTCCAACTTGGACAGAGACTGAGCACAGAGGCTAGAAGACTTCCACCCAAGAACCAGCTCTGGGGGCTTCTTTTTGTTCTTCCTATAAGTCTCAGGGGCCTCTTGGGCCCTTAGCATCCACCTGGGTTCTAGTGATTTGGTCATTTCCCATTATTATCTGAGGTAGATTTTGAGATCACCTGTTGCTACCCAGCGCTTACCTTTGTTCTACTTTGTGCAGCCTGTCACACATCCATCAGTTGAAGGCACTGAACTCAGACTATAGCATCAGGCAGACACACGCTGCCTTTTTAAATGACCGCACCTGAACGTCTGCTACCTGCTGAGGTGATAGCTTCTCCTCAGGTCCTGTCACAATAATGCTCTTTCCTTCTTCTACTGTAGACTTTAAAAACATTATGTGTATGTTGCATGTGAGTTCAGGTGCCTGAGGAGGTCAGAAAAGAGGGCTTTGGACCCTGGAGCTTGGAGTTATGGGTGGTGGGAACCAAACTCAATTCCTGTGCCAGATTAAGCACTCTTAACTGCTGAGCCATCTCTCCAGCCCCACAGTGTAGTTTTATGTTACAAAACTATTCCTTGATGATCATGCTACTGGACTATGAACTACCAGCTTTTCTCATAACCCCCATGCTCAGGGAAGATGCAGACACAGTTACTCTGCCATCTTTTCTGCCCATTTGGATACCAAGTTTGATGCCTTCACATTCATATGGATGAGCCCTGTCTTAGGGCTACTGCTGCTGTGATGAAACACCAGAACCAAAACAACCTGGGGAGGAAAGGGTTTGTTTGGCTTATGCTTCCTTATCACTCTACACTATTGAAGGGAGTCAGGGCAGGAACTCAAACAAGGCTGATGCAGAGGCCATGGAGGGCGCTGCTTACTGGCTTGCTCAGCCTACTTTCTTATAGAACCCAGTCTTGCCTACAGTACCATCTTGTGGAGGCATTTTGTCAAGTGAGGCCTCCTCCTCTCCGATGGCTACAGCTGTCTGTCAAGCTGATGTAAAACTAGCCAGCACATATCCTCAAAGCCCCACTTTCCCCACTTCATTCACCCCACAACTTCTACCTTATCAGCATAATTTCTGAAAATCCACTTTCATCCATATTCTAGTATTTTCAGTCCATGGGGAAAATGATAATCTCTGTCCACACTGGCCCAAACTTCACTAAATAACTGTCTTTTGATCCCTCTACCCACTTCCCATTTTCTACGTCCATCACTGTGGTGAGGTGTCCTAGATCTCCTGGAAAGTTCATCTGTCACTTCATGATGCTCCTCTTAGCATTGTGGACTTTGTGTTCACCACTCCCTTTCAGAATACTCCATTGCCCTCCCTGGCCTCTCCACTTCCTCCGGACTAAGAGTTGGTATGTCCCAGATCTTCTCAGTTGAGGACCTCACCCTAATGTGCAGAGCTGAACTTGTGATTTCACTCCCTGCTGAAAGGCGTTTCTTCTTCCTTCTGTACCAGAGGCTCACTTCACTTCCTGATTCTAACTGAGAGCACCCACCAAAGTCTAATTACTTTTCTAGCCTTGACTGATCCTCAGGGTCGATGTAGCCTCCTGTGAGCCCAGCATGTCTCCCTGATTCCGGGCCACTGCTTTCACTTATTGTGGTGGTCAATGTTCACTCTCATCTGGACTGGTTTTGAAATCACCCAGGAGATACATCTCCAGCTATGCTGTGAGCGTGTTCCAGGAGAGGTGAATGTGGACTGCACCTTCCACAGATTGGACCCAAGGCTGACTGACAGGGGAAAAGGAGAAGGCATTCTGAGCACCAGCACTCATCTCTCCTTCCTGACTGTGGACTCAAGATGACCAGCCACTTCCCACTGGAGACGCTTGCAGCTGGGACGGATGGGACCCTCTCCCTTGAGTTGCTTCTTTCAGGTATTCAGTCACAGCACAAGACAAGTAACTAATACGTTTACCAAAGGCCTTGGCACCCAGCACTGCCATGATCCTACTTGGAGCCTCCCCTTCCACGGTAGGAGGACCTTAATGGCCGAGCTACCTCTCCAACCCTTGATCTTTCTCTTTAAAGATCCTTCTCTCTCAAAGGTGTCCCATTTATCTGCCCTCTTCACTGCAAAATTTCCTTGGTGTTTAGACAGTAGCCATTGTCCTCCCTTCCTACTTAATCCCTTTTTGTGAGATTTCATGCTTCTACTCAGCGCTGTGAAAGGGAGTTGAAGAGCTAAGCCAAACGTTTATTAAACTCAGAATGGGATTTTCCATAGTCTCACTGCACTGAGCAGCTGGAGCCTGGCAAGAGCGAGAGCCTGCGTTAAAAGCCCCAGGATTAGGGGATGGACTGAACAGACTTGGCCTTCGAGAAATTTTAAAATGATCAACTTGCTACTCTTTCTGCCTGGCAGATGAAAGGAAAAATCCTTTCCAATGGATGACAGCCATTTAAAGACGTTACACCTTAAAAATATGTAGGATGTTTGGATTAAAAAAGATCTCTAGGCATTTCAAGAGGGTTAGTATTCAAAATCATAATGTGAAGGACCACAAGAAGACAATTAAGAATTTATATGAGGTGTGTGTGTGAGAGAGAGACACATAACTTTAATCTCAGTATTGTGAAGACAGGCCAATCTCTGTGAGCTCAAGGACTGTTTGGTCTATAAAGTGAGTTGTAGGACAGCCAGGACTGTTGCACAGAGAAACCCTGTCTCAAAAAGCCAAAAACACAAACAACAACAAAAGAGTTTATATGAAGTTGGGAACTAAATAGCAAATTTGAAGAAAAAAGTGATGTCTGCTATAATAATAAACAGGCAAACCCATGGTTAGATGAAGGAGGAGAGATTAGCAAACTGAAAGACACATTGTAGGACATGCAAAACCGAAACAGGGGAAGACACGTGAGTACGATGGGAAGGTAAATCGTTTTAAAAATGGGGTCCTAAGGAAGAAAGTGAGCACGAGACAGCAGAATGCTTAAAGACATAATTGCTGAACATTTTCCCATCTGTTAAATGTTTAGTCCACAAACTCAAAAGCCTCTGGAAACCTTGAGTCAGGATAAATACAAAGATCACCATATGAAAAACATGTCAGTCAAAGCTCTAACCAAAGAGGAACTCAAGGGTGAGAGAGGGAAAATACAGTTGGCCCAGCAAGGAAGTACAATATGGATGGCATCTTAAAACGCTCAAGGAAAATAACAGTCATCTATAATTATTCAGAAATAAAGAGAAAATATTGTCACTTCAAACAAAACTGAGATCTGTTGCCAGCAAAAGAACTAATAAAAATGACCTCATTCCAGCACTCTGGAAAGCTGAGGGAGGAGGATTATGAGTTTAAGGCTAGCCTGGGCTATGGAGTGAGGCGTTGTCAGAACAGCTACAGCCTACCTCAGTAATAAAGTGGACTAGAAAGCAAATATAAGGGCAAATATCAGTTAGTCCCTGGATATATGCATGTATATGTACTTATATACAATAATACATAATAATAAAAAAGGCAGGAGGAAGGGTTAAAGGAGTTAGTGTTTTAATATTATTGAGGAAACGAAGTGAGTGTGATGGCTAGAAACTTTATTGTTGAGGGATAATTTTTTTCTTTCCGAGACACGGTTTCTTCGTGGCTTTGGAGACTGTCCTGGAACCAGGCTGACCTCGAACTCACAGAGCTCCACCTGTCTTTGCCTCCCAAGTGCTGGGATTAAAGGCGTGCGCCACCACTGCCCGGCTTTGTTGCTGGGTAACTGTACACCGTGAAGAGGTATTGATGTGATTGAACAGCCAATAGAAAGGCAGGAGAGAGAGATAGGATTCTGGACAGAGAGAGGAAGAGGGTGATGGAGGCCCACAGGAGGCTCCATGAGATGTAGACCAAGTTGGACACACAGACTGGGAGAGAGGTAAAAGCCATGTGGGTAGAACAGATTTAAATATGTGGGTTAATTTAAGTTATAAGAGCTACTGAAACAAGCTTTCATAATAACAAGTCTCTGTTATTTGCGAGTTGACGGCCAAAGGAAAGTCCTACTACACTTTATATTTGACATAAGTTAGACTCATCTAGGAGATGGGCAGCTGGGTGTGTCTAGGTCAGATCATCTTGATAATTGAGGTGGGAAGTCCCTCCCAATTGTAGTAGCACCATTCTCTAAGCAGGGGATCTGGAGTAAGAGTGGAGAAAGTGAGCTAAGAATAGCATGCATTTACTAATTCACTGTTTTCTGCTCTTTACAAAGCATTTATTTTTATTTTATGTGCGTATGTGTTTTTGCCTGCATCTGTATATCAGAACTCTTGGAGCCTGAGTTACAGACAGTGGTGAGCTGCCATGTGGGCACTAGTTAGAACCCAGGTCTTCTAGAAAAGCAGCCAGTGCTCTTAACTACTGAGCTGTCTTCCCAGCCCTTGTCTCTGCCCTTAACTTTCAATATAATGTGACTGTCTGCTTCAGCTTCCTACACTTGATTCCTTGCAATAATGGACTTTAATCAGAATTATGCTTTCTCCCTTAAGTGCTTTTGTCAGAGTATATTAACATAGCAGCAAGAAAGGAAACCAAGGCATGAAGTAACAATTTATATGTGATAGAATCAGCATAAGGATGTGTGTTGTACTCTTTGATACTAATAAACATCGAGTACATCTTCAAAAAATAATAGAGAAAAAATAGAACAAAATCTTTGGCAAAGCAAGCCACATATAAACAGGCTAAATAAAACGTAAGAAGATGATAGAAACATTCAACTATACAAATTATAATATTAATAGATCAAATACTTTAAGTAGAAGACTAAGATTGTTAAACTAGATAAAACTTAAATATTATGGAAGAAGATCTTAATATAAGGAATAGAAAAATTGTAGCATGATAATGCTAATTTAGATATACTAACATTATTAAAAATACATTCAGAGCATTACCAGAGATAAAAAGGAATATTTTGTGAGGGGGGGGGAAAGAATCTTTCCCCTAGAAAGAGACTATACTCTTAAATAAAAATGGACAGAACATTTAGAAGTAGATCGCTCTATAACCATAGTGGATTTTGAAAACACACCTCAACAGTTGATAGACCAGACAAAAGGAATCACGTGAGAAAGACGATCTGAACAGCACAATGAATCAATTTGACATAACTGACACATATTAAATAGCTCATCTAATATGAGAATACATGTTCTTGTAAACACAAAACATTTATCAAAGTTGATCATGAGCTCTGTTTTAAAATAAGCTTTAGAATACTTGAAAAGATAAAAATTACTCAGTGTGTTCTCTGACCATGGGAATCAGTTACAAAAGGAGAAAATGAAAACCTGCTGCATGTACCAGGAAAAACCTCCTCTCTGGCTGTATTGAATCTTCACACATGCTATTTCACGGGACAGGACAGAGACCGCTCTGCTGGTCGGTTTCAGGTTAAGTTTCTAGCACAGTGGGTCATCACTATGGCCCAGATTCCTTGCACACGTGCCTGGTCGGTCCAGCCTCACACTTAGCTTTCACCTTTCTCCTCACACCTCCAGCCCTGGTGATAATCTTCCTTCTTGTTTCACTGAAAAAAAAAAAGGTATCTGAAAGAAAGTAACCTACCTACTGCCCTGAATTGCCTGGTTGTACCCAGTGGAGGAATTCTCTTGGCTAAGGCTGGTGTCAATCTGTGTGCGTTGGAGTCCACTACAATTATCTACCGTGATGAAGAGTTTCAAAACGGCTATTCCTACTAGCGCACACACTCTGGGACAGCGCTTCCGTGGCACCCCTTCCTCACTTTTACACTCTTAGTTTTACATTGAAATCCCTTTATGCAGTTGCCTATATCCCTCTGCCACACTCTTCCCCTATCATTCTGACTTGATCCCCTTCTCCAGGGTTGCCTTGACTGTTGCGTCCTAGCTGTTATAACGAAGGTGGCCTATGATGAGGTGAGAGGAAATCCAATGGCTGGTTCTCAGATTTCCTAACATTAGAGGCCACTAATGCTCGCTGGAGACCCTCTGCCTGTGAAGTGCCACCTGCCCCAGGATTTCTTATACTTTTCAGGATACTCCTTCTGCTTCTTGATCTTCAAGTGTGGGAGAGCCTCGGGCCTCCATCCTTGACCTCTTCTGTCTGTATACACTGGGTGATCTCAGCCAGTTTTCTAGGTTTAATCAGGTCATGGGGTGATGATGCTCAATTTTACAGCTCCAGCCTCCCCCTTTCCTTAGACCTGTTTACTTGACATAGCTACTTAAATATCTGACACTATATTTCATCTCCCATCTTCTCTATGCTCTACTCTCTGCCTTGAAATGCATCTTGCTTTAATCCTTGCATCTTCATCTGTGGTCAAATTTCCCCTGCCTATCCCTTACATGGATACTTGTGATTGCAGTCAGGGTCCACCTGAATCTTTCAGGATCTCCTGACTTAGCCATATCTATACTATCCCTTTTGCTATATAAGACAATAGCCAGTTTCTTGGGATAGAATGTCTTGGGAGCTATTATTTATTAAAGACTATAAATGATTGGTTTTATATATATATATATATATATATATATATATATATATATATATATATAAACCACTCTATGCTCAAGTTAACAAACAAACCATGTGAAGCCTCCCCTCACCAAGCCTTACATTTAACCCATCAGAAAGAATTTTAGGAGGGCTGGGGAGATGGCTCAGTGGCTAAGCATGCTTGTTACTTTTCCAGAAGACTGGTTAGGTTCCTAATACGATGCCTGTAACTCCAGCTACAGGGAATCCGATGCACACATGCACATAACTAAAAACCAAGTGAATGCTAATTTCTCATCACGGCCGTCTGAAGCTGCTCCTACAGTCTGTGTCTTATGTGGCATTCAGATCTCAGTTTCTGTTCAGCTCCAGAGTGAGAACCGATTTGAAGTAGTCCTACAGCCCCATCATCACATTAACCCTGGCTTTCCACAGCTATTACAGCACTCCAGAACTCTGCTTTGCCGTCTGCCTCCCTTACCAAAAATCTCATGCTGGGAACTCCACCTACAATAGTGCTGGGTACAGTAATAGACACTCGAGAGACGGCTACACAGGCATCTCTCCCCAGTCTAAGCCCTTCTCACAGGAGCTGGGAATGTGCATGCAGCAGGTGTCCAGGATGTCAAGTCTTTCCCCACTTCTTCCAAGAGCTATTACCTGTAAGACTTTCTGGGCTTGAACGTCGACCACGAGGACTCTGTTCAGTGCTGGCTGGGCCACGTAGATGTACCGGTTCCGGACATTGACTGCAGATGCCCACCGGCAAGGCTGGGAGGCATCTCCTTTCCCATGAGGACAGATTTCTTCCTGTAAGGCGACAGACAGCCATGTATCTGCTCTCCCTATCCCTTAATCTTCTTGGATCCCTTTTTTTTCTCTTCTCCAACTCCTTGGGGTTCATACATGAACATGTCATGCAAGCCCTGCCATGTCACTAACTTCTCACTTGAACCTCATCTTCCTCATCGAGGTCAACCCTGTCACTGTGTGCTCAGTTTGCAGATCTTTCTATGTGAAATGGCCCAGGGCTCATTCCTGGATTTCTACTCTGAAGTCTGTTCCCTTGTTTATCTCATTGATGCCTACAGCTTTAGGTATTGTCTGCATACTTGCTGCTCCTAAATTTGTATGATGTGTGTTCATATATGTACAAGTTTGTACAACGCCTGTGCAGGCCATGTCATTGCCCCAGTACTGCCCATTATTTTTCTATTACTAATTTTGAGATATGGTTTTTCTCAGTGTCTTAGAGTTTGTCAAGTAGGTTAGGCTAGCTAGCCAATGAACCCTACAATCTGCTTGCCTCTGTTTCCCCAGGCTGGGATTATAAATATGTGCTTAAAAAAACTTGCTTGCATGTTTGTGTGTATACTACATGTGTGCCTGATGCCTCTGGAGGCTGTTTTAGATCTCCTGGAGCTGGAGTTTCAGATGGTTGTGAACCACCATGTGAGTGCTGGGTCTCCTGCAAGAGCAGCAACAAGTGCTCTTAACCACTGAGCCATTTCTCCAGCCATGCTCCCCTTTAATGTGGGTTCAAACTCAGGTCCTCATGCTTTCAAGCAAAGCCGGTTACCAAGTTTCTATCCTTAAGCCTCTTCCATGAACTCCACTCTTAAGTGCTGCATCTTGCTGGTGACTAATATGCATCTCAAACTTGTATGTCTAAAATCCACCTTTATTTCTTTTTCTCTAATCTTACTCATTCTATACAAAACTAGGAGCTCATTGCCTGCCTGCCTGCCAGCCTTCCTTCCATTTTTAAAGATGAGAACATTGTTTTCCCTGTCTTCTGTGATACTTGTTCTCTTAGTCTGCCTGCCCCTGAGTTGTGAATGGGTCAGGACTCTCTCTGTTGATGTTCCTCTCGTGCCAATTGCATATGCCCGTGTCCATTCCTTAGCTTTTGACAACACTCTCAAGCAGATGGTGACCGGATCTGCATCTTCAGCTCAGGGATATGCCCTGCTCCCCCCAGCTCCTTTTGTTTTTTTCCCAGGCACCCAAACTCTATGGTGTGCTAAGTGCTCTGCCTCCCACCCCTGGCCTCTATTGCTAGTGTCTTCCCTACTTGGCACCACAGGACTGTGACCTGACACCCAACAGCATCTGAGGGACACAGCTCAGGGACAGGTAGGCTGAGGGAACCATCAGATAACGGAGAAACCTAGGAGAATGGGGGTGGGGAGGGCTGCCCTGGACCTACCCCTAGGGGTTACCTCTTCTGCTGCCCCATCCTTTTCACCTGTCACTTGATACTTGGTCTTTTCATTTGTAGCACTTCTGGAACTCTGGGCATTCACTCGTGTATGTCCATGCCACTGCAAGAACACCTTCCTAGATGCTATCTGTTCACTTTGCTGTCCTATTATTTGACTATGAACATTTAGAGGCCAGGAACTTGGTGCACCTTGGCCCTCACAGCTGCTGGATGGAGAATGGAGAGGTAAAATTCCCTGGACTCACACCCACATATAATGACCAGAACCAAAGAAACCCAGTTCTCACACACATTAATGAATACATGGAGCATGACCTTGGGATTTTGACTGTGCATGATATGAAAGCTACCCCAGTCACAGAAACTCACATAACTCATGAAGATCTTCTCTGTAGGCTTCAGGCGTCTCTGGACCTCACAGTCCACAGGGTGGATGACAATGATGCCGTCGTCAGAGAAGACATAGAACACATTTCCCACGCTGAGGCCTAGGAGGAGTGAACACTGTATGTGGTCATGACCTTCTAGCCACTGGTAAGGTCACACAAGGCACAGCATAACATGTTTTCCTGGTGGAGAGGGGTTGCGGCCTGCCCACAATACTTCTTGATGGTAGTTGGGACCAGGGAACAAAGTGTCCCCAGAGCTGGGAACCAATATAGCCCATCATAGATCTGCAGTACCCAGTACCCCCTGCTTCTGTGCATCTGGAACCCAGTCCCTCAAAGATGCCCAGTCTGCAGAGTGCCTCACAGCAATCTCGAGCACCAATCCTGGGTGTCCCACTGGGATTCTGAGGTTAGCTATGCACATATGATTCAGCGTAACCCTGTTGTGGGACACCCGTTTTGTACACTGTGAATATGTTGCTTTCATTGGTTGATAATAAAAGCTGCTTTGGCCTATAGCAAGGCAGAATATAGCTATGCAGGAAAGCCAAACTGAATACAGGGAGAAAGAAGAGTGGAGTCAGGGGAGACACAAGCCAGCTGCCCAAGAAACAAGATGCCAGCAGACCAATAAAGCCATGGCCACTTGACAATACATAGATAAATAGAAATGGGTCAATTTAAATGTAAGAGCTAGTTAGTAATACTCCTGAACTATAAGCTATAAACTAGAAACATTCTGAAATAAATAGTAAGCCTCTGGGTGATTATTTAGAAGTGGTTGCAGGACGGGGAGGAACAGAGAAACTTCTGTTTACACTGCCTCACAGCACCTCTGTCTAAGGCACCATGCCAAAACACCTCTGTCATCAATGACTTACCTGGCAAAACTTGGGCTGAAACACTGATGCTGGGCACAGTCTCCCTGGGCTGCTTTGAAAGTCAACCACCAGAAGTGCCAACATAAGATTGACAGCTTAATATAGCCCCCATGGGGTTTGTAGACACAGACAGCTACATTTCTGGCTGAGTGCAGCGCGCTCTCAGTGTGTGGGAATGTGAGTCAATACTCATTCAGCACACAATCAACCTCGCAGGAGACCCAGCCTCCTGATCCACCCCCTCGAAGGTTCTGTTGAAATTTAGTTTCTGCTACTGGGCTCCAAAGGGCTCCCAGCTTCCTTTGCTGCAGTTGTCCTGTCCCATCTTTCTCCCATGTAGATTTGAGAGTACCCTGAGGCATGTGGTCCCTTCCTCTTGGCTTCTGTGTCCCCCCCTCTAAGACTTGAATATCATCAAAAAAGGGCATAGCATTAAGCCACTGAGGTGAGATAGGGTTTGGGGGATGCTTCATCATTTAATCTGAATGCAGCATCCACCAGCCCTACACTTTAAGGTGGCTTCAGTGAGACTTTGGTTCTTACAGTGCACAGCAACCCCAGTAGATTTGTGTTCCCTTACAAGTCTTCACTGTGCAGACCTGAGTCCCTCTGCCTGGTGGTGTACCATTGTTTAAAAGACGCAGAGCACAAGCTGAGTGACATGGCAGTCAGAGGGTCACATCCAGTAACCCTGCTGTTGGTCCTCATAAGTACTGTGTCAGGCTCAGTGCCCACTGCTCAGGAGACTGAGCTGGGTCTGTGCATGTGTGTGCCATGTGAGTTTGAACTCCCTACCCCAGTACATAGGCTCCTCAAGGTTGATGGGTCAGGGAAAGGTGGCCCGCTGTGGAAGCAAGAATACATGCGATTGCACGACACAGGACAACCACACTCAGTACCTTCTTCCCGCCACAAGATGTTTGCTACTGTAGCAGCCAAGAATTAGGAGAGCAGCCACATGACAGCCAGAAGAGAAAGAAAAAAGACAATGTCAAACCGTTGCTGCTGTGATTCCTTGGTTCATGCCATTGAGGAACATTCTAGTAACCCATCACTCACTGGCCCAGCAATGGTATCAGGCCACAAAGCTGAACCCAGGTGGACACATCTGGGTCTCAGGATGTTTTTGCTTTCTAAATGAATCTTTAAAACTGGGCCCCAGGATCCCAGCAGTTAATCTGCACTCCTGCTTCTGTGGACAGTAAGGAATGAGTAGCATCCCTCCCTGATTTCCTAGGTCACTTCCAGGAAAGTTGATTTTCAGTTAGGACTTCCCAAGGAAGAGCACTGTTTCAATGATAAAGGAGAGGACTTATGGCATTCCATGCCACAAATTCTACCTGCAGAACCACGTGGGGGAGGCAGTGGTGCACTTAGTACACTTAGCCCATGAGGTGGTGATGATTCCTAGAGGAAAGGCCACTCTACTCGTAGTTGTGTACTCATCTAGAAGCACCCCCCTTACCAGACAGTACTACACCCCATTCATGTTAGTTTCCTCCTATGCATGTGTACCTAGGATCAAGTTCAACTTATAAATCAGGCAGTACAAAATTATGAATGCAATATAATAATTACAACATACTGTGATGAAAATGTTACTAAAGGGGCTGGAGAAAAGGCCTACTAGTTAGAAGCATACGCTGCTTCTCCAGAAGATCAGAGTTCAGTTCCCAGCATCCCATAACCACCTGTAACTCCAGCTTCAAGGGATCTGGCCCCCTCTTCTGGTCTTGGTGGGAACCTGCACCCAAAAGTACACAAAAAAAATCTTACAGGGTTCATTTTTAGAATTTCAGATCAAAGGAAGAAAAAACCACAGATGAGAGGGGGACTACTGTCTGCCCTGAGAGCTTCCAAGCCACTGGTGGTGTGAAGGCTTTTGTGACCAAGTTTCCAGCCATTCATCCCACAGGAGGCAGAAGCACAGCTGGGGTATTTGGGCTTCCTTGTGGTCCTGGGTTTTGTGTCCTGACCAGAGACTTCAATTGTCTATATTTCCAGAGTTGTCTATGTTGCCTGGGAAGGTCACCATCTGTACTTAGCTTTGTGTACAGAGGAAATAGACTTATCCCAGCCTTCAGAGACTCCCAGTTGGTGACTGTGGCCCTGGAGAGTTAATGCAGTCCTCTTGTCCCCCTAACACTCCCAAACAGCCCAGCAAGGATCTCAGAGGCAATAGCGGACTCACAGGTCTTCCTAGCCGAGTCCTCAATGAAGAGGGAGGAGATATCTTCGTCCACGCCCACTTCATTCTTGGCAATGCATGTATATGCCCCTGTGTCTTCATAGCGTACACTGCCAATGTGGAGTTCACTTCCATTGGCTGTAGAAGGGACAGTGGCTCAGGGTAATGCTCTCAGGGGACACCCTTTCACATGCCTTCCCCACTACCTTCTCAGGGGCTCTGAAGAGTGTTGGGCTAAAAATAGAGATCTTGGGTATGGATGGGGGCAGTTAACGTTCTTGGGACTGGGCCCAGGACAGGTTGGCACTGCTGAAATACAAAGGATGCCATGGAATCTGGCCAGTAGCCTCTCAGATGCCCATGAGACCTGTGTGCCAGTCATCAGGGGATCTCTGCTTCCTCTTAACATGCCAGGCTCAGCCATGATCTTACCTCTCATTTCCTGTCCGGGGATTCATGTGCAATTCTTACCCAAGAGGGAAAGCTGTTTGGACATCTGGGCTGAGACATCCATGCCATTTTTCAGCCAAATGATTCTGGGCATGGGAATGCCCTCAGCGTGGCATCGAAGGCTGGCTGCTACTCCAGGCTCTTGTGCCTGGGTCTCTGGATAGACACGGATGACTGGTGGCACTGTGGGTGAGAACAGTCTTCGTAAGAGCAAATCTACACCTGGCCTGGGGCTGTAGCCAAACCCTGAGACCCTGATCCAGAGGGTGAACCCAAGAGGTGACTCTGGGGGCCTCTGAACCAGCTTACAATGATGTCTTTAGCAACCCAAGTGCTGAGGGAAAAGGCTGTAAAATGGATCACAGACAATAAACACATCCGGTGTGGTACCTCCGTAATTCATCGCTTCCACTCTTGTTCTAAATATGATCAGAAAAACATCCAAATATTTAATGCTGTTCAGTTGCTGCATATAAAGAGAAACAGCCACTGGAATTTATCTCTGAATGAATGAAATTTAGATGTATTATTCCTGTTATCGGAAAGCCATTGGACGGGGCCTTAATTTCTTGCAGGAAATGCTTCACAAAGCACTTATGGGAGCTGACTGGCAGGCTGCTAATTATATCATGGCTGTGGGGAAGCCCATCCATTTTTCACTGGGTCATTTTTATTTCTTCAATCTCCAAGTCCTGGGACCTGCATGAAAGGAGGATGTGTCCTCTTTGGTTGGGGGAGTGACTCAGCTCTGGACCCTGGTGGTCAAATCTCAGCTTGGGCATGTGACCTGGCCCGCTGGCTAGATGAACACAGGTAGACACGACTCTGGCACATTCCGCAGTGGATTGGCCCTTATTAAAGGGAAGGCTGTGGGGAAGGGCTGTTAGAGAAGGTCCTAGAGAAAACCAGGGTTCTAGCTGAGGACTGTTCAGGACTTTGGCATTAATGAGCCCAGACTCTTGCAAGATCTCCACCTATGCATAGCACACCTGGAAACCAGAAAGCAAACCTAGAGAAAGCAGAAGGGAAATGGAGGACTCAACTCAAAAGTCAAGAAGAGAGACTGACGAGTAAGTCCATGAACTGCTTATTCGTAAGAGGAGCAAGTGTTGTCAATGGGAAACTAGAGAAAGAATACAAAGGGGTTTAGAATGTGAGAATGCTATATTAACTTATAGATCATACAAACAAACCTCAATTAAATGCATCATTTAAAAGGAACCTTCAGGGGCTGTAGAGTTGGCATATATATACATACATATATATGCCATATGTGTATATATATGTGTGTGTGTGTGTGTGTGTGTATGTGTATGAATAAGTTATGAGTTTATCTCACCTGGTCCTTGTTTTAGTTACTTTTCTATTGCTGTGATGGGACCCATGACCCAGGCAACTTACAAAACAAAGAATTTATTTGATGCTTATAGATCAGAGGGTGAGTCTATGATCATGCTGAGGCATGTGCACACCCATATACACGTAGGAACATGCAGATACACACACACAATAGCAGAACATGCTCTGTGTGCAATAAGTATCAGTGTTTATTAGCAAATCTATAATCCCAAGTCAAAGGTAGCCAAAAAGAAAATCATTTGATTTTCTTGTTAGGCACCAAAAAAAGTCTTTGAAAAAGACCCAAACCCCATTTCTTGGTGTGTGAGTCTCAATGAAGAATATGTCCATAAAAAGGAACAGCGCCATTCCTTTCAAGAAAAAGGAGAAAGGAGAGAAAGCAATATTAACTTTGAAACTCACTGGTGTGGTCAAGGAAAGTAAAATATGGGGGGTGTCAATATTAAAGGATGATGTCATGTTTCCAACCGCTGTGACCAAACACCCAGTAGAAATAACTTAAGGAATCCTAGCTCACCTTGGTAGGAAGGCATGGTGCTGCAAGGGGGCTCTTCATCTGGTGCAACTGAGGCTCTTCATATTGTAACCAACCAGGAAACAGAGAAGGTGGTCTGTTGAAGTTGAGTAATCAACTTCAAAGCCTTGTGCAGTGGGACCTATTTCCACTAGCAAGACCATCTCCTAAGGGCTCTCCAGCCTTCAAAATAACAGCACAAACTGAGGACCAAATGTTCAAAACACCCACAGGGGGGCATTTTAAAATAAAAAGATTTACATTTATATATGTTTAAATATATGTGTCTGCTTGTCTGTATGTGTACCATGTACATGTAATACCCTAAAGTGCCAGAAGAGGGTGTCGGGTCACTGGGAGCTGGAATTACAGGAGGTTGTGTGCCACCTGCTGTGGGTACTAGAACCTTGGTCCTTCAGGCTCTTAGAGGGACATTTAAGACTGTAACTATATAATAGTGAACAATGATATTTTAGGTAGCTGTACTCAAGGACACAAACCCAAAAAGATAGTAATGATTGCATGAATACAATAAAGAGATAGTACCAAAATCCATAAAATGAATAGTATTTTATAGATCAGTGGAGACCACACAGACAACAGACTGGACCCAAGTGATGAAAACCATAAAATGTCACTGACACGTGGGAGGTCATTGGTTAGAAGATTTCCCATTGTCACAAACAAGGTCTGACAAGTTAACCCACAGACTGAATCTAATTTCAATTAAAACCAGTCCATCGGGGCTTGACAAAAAAATTCTGAGTGTATCTAGTACGGAAAAAAGTCCAATGCGTGGCTGAGGAAACTGAGAAGCGACATTGTTCCTTGTCACTCTGCTAAACCAAGATATCACAGAGCATTACAACACCGAATGGGGCCAAGGGGCTCGTCCTCTTTGAGTCCAGCACCTGGCTGAGGACCTTGATTGATTTTTACAAAACTCTGTCAATCCCCTATCGGGCAGCTGACAGCCATGAAATACCAGTTGGTGTCAGGCATGATGCATACAGCGGTAAGAGCCTTGGTCCCTTGCTGCATGGTGGCACTTTCTGTGTGGGAAAGATGACTAAACAACTAGTTGCAAATGTGAGGGTCACTCCCGGAGAGCCGTGGGGAGCAAAGCCTAGCAGGCTTCACTCTCCTCCTCCTACAGGGGAGATTATTGGTGCAGAATTTGTTCAGGGAACTGGAGACATGGCCGCCCCCAGCTCTGGAGGCTGCCTTTGGCCTCTGCTCTGATCTCAGACAGGGATGTGTGTGTAGACTGAGCCGTCTACACTTAAGCGGGAATCATCTGATCACATGTAACGAGCACCCCTCTCCTCCCCCAACCCCCACTGCCTGTGTGCACTGCTCTGAGATGGGAGCTTTTCCAGACCAATTTGGGACTCAATTTAAACTAAAATATGTGACAGTGTTCTAGAACAAAAGGACACTTGACCGAAAGCCAAGGGCGTAGGATGAGTCACTCAATAAAAATACATGTCTAAATTCAAGGCACTAAGCTCTCCATAGCTGGGGGTGGGGACGGGTGTGGGTGTGGGGTGAAAGGGACAGGATGCGCAGCAACACACACACATGCCCTCTGACAGCCTGGAGGTTTCCTCGAGAGTGAGACAAGTCTCCTTGAGGGGACTTGCTGCCCCCACATCGAATGCCTTTCACCCCAGCTTGCTGCAAACCTCTGAGTGGAAGACACCAGCTTCTCCTGTCCTTTGTCCTCCTGTAACGACATCATGCCATGGTGTCCTGGTGGACCACCTCTTAATCTTCCCTAGGCCATCTGGAACTTGTACTCTCGTCTACAGTTTCCTTTACCTGTTTGTCCCTCTCCCCCTGGAGACCTGGCTTTCTCCTTAGGACACTGCTTCTCTTGCAGCTTCCTAGGGGCAGCCCCTATTTAGGATCCCCTACTTTATTCGGTGCCCATGCGATGGAAGCTAGGGCTTCACACATGCTATGCAAGTGCCGCACCACTGACCTATGTCCTCAGCTGTGGGCACAGGGTCTCACTGTTACCCAGTTTGCCCTTGACTGCATTCTGTAGCCCAGCTGGGTTTTTAATGGGTGATCCTCCTGTCTCAGTTCCTAAAGAGCTGGGACTATGGGCCTGTGCTTAAGCCTTCTCTTCCTGTCCCTGGGCTGGGAAGTGGGGTGGGAGTCTTACTTCCTGCTCATTCTTGGTCCCTTCCCAGATGCCCTCAATCACTCCTCACCTTTTCACACTTCTAGGGACTTTCCCCCTCAGCTTGTAAAATCTGTCCCTTCTCTCCTAGATTAAAGAAAGCAAAGTAACTCTGAGGCATCCCCAAAGGAGGCTGCTCTTGCCCCTGACTTTTTTGCTCAACCCACCCCCTTTCCTCCTCCTTCATTCCTCAGTCCTCCCCCAGCCACATGAACTCGTCACCCAGTGGGAGCTGCTCTTCTCTGGGCCATGGTAGCTTCTACATGCCAGGCCTGACTCAGCAGCACTCATTGTTGCCCTGGCCTGTCTGTACTGCACCGCACAGCTCAGTGATCCTTGTAAGCTGCTGTCTCCACCTGGCCCTAGGCGTCCCTCCTAGTTCCCACTGGGTTCTCTCTGTCACCTGCTCAGCGGGCTGTTCTCACAGGCCCCCTGATGCTGGAGTTCCTACAGGTTTCCACCCTCCGCTAGCCTAACCCATCCACGGACTTGACACGGGTCCCCTGCCACATCTGAAATGCATCCCCCCAGCTCTGAAAGCAAACTTTCTTATGTCAGGAAAGGGCAGACTCCTCTTGTCAGGGCCCCAGGGGGCACCTTTGTCCTCCCTACCACCTTTCGTCAGCACTCCCCTTTCCATCTTTTTCCTGCCAGCCCATGCCAACCATGCACAGTACCTCTGATTCTCCTTACTCCTGTGTTTCAGAAATTTCTTCCTTGGCACCTTTGCCCATTGCCACCATGAGGACATGGCAGGCCAGAGGATGCAGATTTGTTAAATGAATGGATGGGGGTGGAGAGAAGAGCAGTTCTCAATAGATGGAACAAGTCCATGGCAGGAAGGCAAGAGGGTAGCTGTTAGGGAAACTGAGGAGCCGATGGAGCTGGAATGAGGGGGACTACAGCGGAGGTGAAGCTCAGGTCAGAGAAGGGCTGGCTTGACGCCAGTGCTGTGGTGTGTGTTTGCACATACAAGGAGGGCGCAGGGCTCTAAGCTGCACTCAGGAATTTGAGCTGCCATGCTCCTCCATGAGCCAGTGGTCAGGTCCCTCAGCATTTTCCTCTACATTCTGGTGTAGAGCAGAGTGACAGTGACAGCTAGGTCAGCAGCAGTGGGGAACA